TTATCTCGTGGCATCATTCCGAGAGCGCGTTAACAAAAAATGTTTGTATTTTAAAAATAACCAAACTAAAATAACGCTTCCCTGCCATCTCAATAAAATGGCATGCAATGTACAATTTGGCGGTGGTAATGCATCACACCGCCCATGTCAGGACAGCTAATGAATGGAACACCTCCTTTCTGCACACGCTGCTTTATGTACGCGCGGAAACGTCCAATACAAGATGCGTTATTTTCATGGTGGGGGGAGGGAACAGGCGTGTGGTGGTCTGTGGAAGGGATGGCGCAGGGGGTAGTGAAATCGACTTAAAATGGAAATGGCCAAACATCCCACTGCAAGAACCTCATGCAAAAAGTATCAAGGCTGACTTGAGACTTTCCCCGATTACTAAACTACATTTATGTATTGTTACTCTGCTGGCAACCAAATTACCCTGAACGTGTCTGATCTCAAGTCAGATATCAGAAGTTGAGGATCGAGTCTCGTCAGAGCCTGGACTGCAGAGTGCCGAGACATACCAGATATTGGGCTATGAAGTGGTCAGAAGGTGGCAGTACAACAATGGATCGTTGAATCTATGTGTGCATTGTTGGAGCTTCGAGTGATATACTGTACCATACACCGGCATGGTGTACTCGGAGCACTTGTTCCCTCCCACACACCAAAAACGAATTAATGGAATTGGCCAAACATCGTAATGCAGGACCCTCCTGAATATATTTTATGTCTCAGTGAGGCTTTCGTGTATAAATGATGGGCATTACCATGTTATTATAACGAAGGTGGGGCGGGCGGGGGGGGGGGTCGGTCACCTCCCTTGACACATTTACATACTTACTAATTACCCAACGCATGCCATGTGGACTGGCTTAATTTGAATGAAGATTGGCAGACACAGAGAAAGGTTGGCAGTGACAGCATGCGAGACTGGAGTTTGAGCAGCCCTGGCCTACACACCTACTAACGCCGCACTGGATGTATCATGTTAAAAAAAAACAGATGTACTCTACAAAAACAGGGGACCGATCTTTGCTAAAGCACTGCATGTTGGAGGTCAAGACAGAGGCCAAGCTTATTACAATACAGCAGCATGCTTAGTTATCCGGCTATCACATTCAATAGGGTTAGCCTTGTTAATATGCAAAGTGACTCGTGTATGGCTTGGTTCAGTAACATTCAATCAGGTTCCAAAAGGCACAGTTTTGTTTATATACAATGCGAATACACACGGTCAAGCGTGGTGCGTGTACATGTATGTGCGCATCTGCATATGTATGTGTGGACATCTGTATGTAATGAGGTGCATGTATCTATCTGTGCATGTATGTAATGTGGGGAGTGGTGGTGTAATGGTTAACTCGCTGTGCTACGATCCCGGCAACCCGAGTTCGATTCCCACTCACAGCCAACACCATTGATGATTATCTAAACTGGTCCTGGGCCTCCCCTAGGTCAACTCAGCCTCAAATAAGTACCTAGTGTGATGTGTAAACATTGACACTGGGGAGACAAAGGCGGTCGGGCGTGGCCACACCACCCCCTCGTGTGGTATGCCGTGCCGGCCTTCTTAGGCTGCTTGCTAACAGCACTTGCCCAAACAGCCGGTTTAGGCTATGCAGGGGATCTTTGTCCTTGTATGAGGCTGTATGTCTGCAAATCTGTGGGAAACTGTATAAGCATGTCTGAAGCTGTCTCGTGTATGTCTGTATGGCGGTATGTTAACATCGGTATGTCTGTGCATCTTTGTATGGGGGTGCGTGGGCATCTATATATTTGTCTCTGTGGAGATATCCACGTGTACAGATATCCACTGTACATGCATGCCTGTGTGTCTGCGCAAGTCTGTATGCTTCAGTGTGCATCTATAAATACAGTACATACATCAACAGATGTATGGCCTGTCTGTGTAACCACTCTCTGTGTATCTCCTGTATGCCTGTGCATCTCTATCTGTCTAAGTGCATCTGTAAGTGCATGTCTGTGTAGCAGCTGTACGTGTCTAAGTTCTACAAATCTTTATCTGTGGGTCTTCATACATCAGCACAAATATCTATCATTCCTGCATGTGTCTATATGTGCCTGCATATGTCTGTCCATGTCCAAGTGTGCCTGTAAAAGCATGGTTGGTGTGCCTATGCGTGTCGTTACACATCCATGTGCTTCTACACATCTGTGTGTACATATGCCATTGTATGTTGGTACTGCATGTGTCTTTAAGGTGTACCTGCATATTATGTGCATCTGTGTAAAAAGGCCCTTGTACAACGTTTGCGTCTTGCAAAGCATTATAAGTCAGCGTATGTACACAGGTCTGTGTATCTGTCAGTACTCTACGACAATTGTATTTGTGCTTGTGTACCACTGCCACTAAATAAATTGTATCCGTCTTCGTGCGCTTGTACATCCATGTCCGTGCGAGTCTGTGCGCTGGATGCGGTTGCTCCTGTACACATATCTGTATGTTTGCACGCATCTCCATGCATCAGTGTGCTTCTATAAATGTCGGCAAAATGTACATACGTCTGTGTGTCTGTCAGTCCATTACACGTGTCCCTGAGTGTTGGACACAAGGCCCTCCCCGTGCACGCCTCTCTCTCCCCTGCCTGCCTTGTCTGGGGTGGCGTCACGCCACCCTGACCCCCAGCCACAGATGGGCCCCTCCGTGACCCCGCGGTCCCATAGGCCCCTGTGTCTCAGAGCCATTTCACCGGCACATCGCCGTGGTGAAAATGGACGCGCATTACATTAGGATGAATCAAGCCACGACACATTGTACTTTAACAGGCCGCGAAACATCACGGCTACAAGCACATGGCACACTACATAACGCTACTAAATCACTGCTACACCCCATGGCATACTACATCAGCGCACATCACGTACACTACATCACCAATACACCACATGGTTCACTACAATATACTACATCACATCCACTATATTATATACACGACATCACCAGCGTACACTACATCACACGCGATATAAAAAAAAATATCGATAAATCACACATGACCATTATACATCATATCACACCACTTCACAAATCAGATCACATCACACACGACGTCGTACTACATCAAATAGTATCTATCACATCACATCATACCCCATCACAGCACATGTTAGATCAAAACGAAATTGCATCAAACAACATGACATCACAAACACAATACCAAATGACATTAGACGACACCTCGCATTACTCCAGATACCACATCACACAAAATCGCACATTACAGACCAATACGTCACATCAGACACCACACAACATACCAATTGCATATCGCACCACATCTCATACATAATATCACACTATACACATTGCAACAAAGGACATCACACCACTTCAGATAACCTAACATCATAGATACATCACAAACGATACCACACATGATACATCGCCCCACACATCCCACACCGTAACATACAGTACTAACATTACTAACGCAACACATCATACACTACTCCACAACATCAAATACACAAAACACATCACTGCATACCAAAGACTACATACATCATATCACAGAATACCATACACCCCACACACAATTCATCCCAGGCACACCCCTACACATCGCATACCACACACACACACCAGACTGCACATCACACAACGCTCCACATAGCAACATCTCATCACCAATCATACCCCACGAGGCATACAACCACACCACATCATAGCACACCGCAGACTACATCACAGTAAAGAACATCACACAACACATCATCACCACATCAGACCTCGTCACAGACCACAAAACCACATACTTTTGCACACACACAGACGATATCACAGCACAGAACACCATATACCACGCTACATATCACACACCACGCATCACACCATCACCACACATTGCATACCACATACAACCACAGCATACCGCAGACATTACAGCAAAGAGTAACACGCACATCACACAACACATCACCACCACACGACATCATTACACATACACAGCATCACATCACCCCCACATATCCCCGAGTAAAACAACCTTTTGACGCTATTGTCAGGCTTTTTTTTACACTGTACACCATCAAACAATTGTAACAACCACGGCGCGATAACCGATAAGCATAACATTTAACAAGAGAATCAGCCTCGTGGATAACAAACAAACCAAACATTTTTTGGGACGTCGCAATTCGTGAATGTGCGAGGGAGGGAGGGACGAGTCTTGTGCCACAGGCCTCGACACCGATGGCAAAAGAAACAACTACAAACAACAACATATTAACAACATACTAACAACATACAACCACCACCAGCAGCACCCGACAATGGCCATTTCCCTAGCAAACAGAACGGCCTCGTCACACTGGGGGGTGGTGGTGGTGTGTAACCAATGCTTACCAGACATAAACCATCACAATTGTGAGGTAAAACTTACGCATAGCAAAGCACATATCGTGTAAAAGAAACGTATCGTTACCACCACCACCACCATCATCATCCTTCACGTACATCACCACACGAAACGCCGCGAACATCGTTCGCCCATCTATACAAATTACATCGCAATTTTTATTATTTCCCACACACCATTGTCATCGTTATCTAGACACATTATTGGCGTTGTTAATAACGACGAAGAACGCTGCACAGAGGAGAGACGAGAGAGAGAGAGAAGGAGACGTCGGTGGTGGTAGTGGTGGTGGTGAAGGAGGGAGTCGGAATGGAAGGCGAATGGACACCAAAGAACCACAACAAAGCGGCGGCCCCTACCGCTCTCATCGCCACCGGCACGACAACAACAACGATCGGCGATGGTGGCCAAGATGATGACATTAGAAGCCGTGATGAGGGGGGCTAGGGGCCTTACCGGCTCCAGCCACTTCGTCTCTCTCCGCCGGAGGTCGAAGCCGCGACATCCGCCGGCTTCGCCTGCCCAGCCTGCCCGAGCTCATGGCTCCGGGACCCCGAGAGCCTCGCCTGGGCCTCTCGCTGCTCTTCCCCCTCCTCCTCCGCCGCCGCCGACTCCTCCCGTCTGTCAGTCCTCCTCCTTCTCCTCCCTCCGCTGTCGTCCTGTCGTCGTCGTTTTAGTTCGTTACGACAGCGCCATGCTCGAGCTACAACCGCTGCCGCCCGTCCCCTTGCTCTGTCGCCTGTCGCCTTCTCCACCGCGACGACCACCACCGCCGCCAGTAGTGGCGGCAGCAGCAGCAGCAGGCGAGCAGCGCTTTCAGCGGCAGCGCTACGACGTCCTCCTCCTCCGCCGCCTCCTCCTCTTCGTTGTCGATGTCGTCGCTCGCCGCGGCGACCGTGACTCCGCCTCCTGCACGGCCGTGCCCCGCCCCTCCATCCTCCTTCCCCCCAACCCCTCCCTC